CCATGAAGCTCGGAGGACTAGGGTCGCTCCTCAACCAACAATATTGAAGCCCTCAGCCCCCCTACTATCGACCGAGTCCCTACACCAAAGAGGTTAACAAGAGAAGAGCTTCGGGAGCGATATGCGAAGGGGTTATGTTGGCATTGTGATGAGCCGTGGAGCCGTGAGCATCGCTGTAGTAAAGGGAGACTTCTTATGATTAAACCAATAGAAGAAGAGGTCATTAAACATCCAGAAGAGAGCCTTGAACATGAAGAAGAAGATGTGGAAGAAGAGCCACAACCGACCGAAGTTACGGTACATGCACTAGCCGGCTACTCAAACCCGCAAACGATGAAAGTTGGAGGCCTTCTCAAACAACAATCGATCACAGTTCTCATCAACACGGGCAGTACTAATAGCTTTCTAAACAGTAAGGTTGCTGTCCAAATGGCCTTACCTATCGAGAATTGCAGTAGGTTTGATGTTAAGGTTGCCGACGGATGGATTTTGAAGTATGATCGTAGGCGCCCGCGAGTGAAACTGTTGCTGCAGGACCAAGAGATAATTACATATTTCTTCCTCCTCCCTCTTGATGATCATGAGGCCATGCACAGAATTGAATTGTTGACGACATTAGGTGATGTTTCTTGAAATTTTATGAAACTAATTATGAAATTTTATAGTAAGGAGAAACAAGTGATACTGCACGGGAAACGTGGGGGCGACGTAACGACGATTTGCACACAACAAATGGAGAAGGTTTTGCATAAAGCATGTAGCGGCTTTTTGGTACAACTTGAGCAGCAAACTAAGGGAGAGCCAACAGAATTTGAAGATCCAAATCTACTTTCTTTGCTTGCTGAATTATCAAATATATTTGACAAACCGCGCAATCTACCTCTTACCCGTTGGCATGATCATTGTATAACGATTCTTCGAGGCAAATCTCCAGCAAATACTCAGTCATATCAGTATCTACATCTCCAGAAAGATGAAATAGAAAGGATTGTAAAAGAGATGCTCAAAATAGGAGTTATTCGGCCAAGTTGCAGCCCCTACTCTTCACCGGTGCTCCTCGTACGAAAGAAGGATGAAACATGGCGGTTATGTGTTGATTACCGAGCTCTCAATAGCATAACCATCAAGGACAAATACCCTATTCCAATAGTAGATGAATTGCTAGATGAAGGGAGTACAAATCTTCACAAAGCTGGACCTTTGATCCGGGTATCATCAAATACGAGTGTGCGAAGAAGACATACCAAAAACCACCTTTTAAACACACAACAACCACTACGAATTTTTGCTTTCTTCAACAGAAGGTGGAATATCATGGGCATATCATATCAGAGGAAGGTGTGGTAGTGGACCCCTTCAAAATTGAAGAAATGTAAAACTGGCCGACCTCGAGGAACATAAAATTACTACATGGCTTTCTGGGTTTAACAGGCTACTACCATAAGTTCGTGAAAAACTATGGAAAGATCAGTGCACCACTCACTTCTCTACTGAAAAATGATACATTCTAATGGTCGGACAAAGCCTCCACTGCCTTCGACAAACTTAAGGCAGCCATGACGATGATGCCGGTGCTAGCGCTACTAGATTTTAATCGACCCTTCATCATTAAGGCCGATGCATCTGAAGACAGAATGGGAGGCGTTCTCATGCAAGATGGTCGACCACTCACATACATTAGCAACGCATTGTCTCCCCCCTATCAAAACATGTTAACATATGACAAGGAAATGCTCGCCATTATGCACGCAACAACGAGATGGAGATCGTACTTGATCAGGCGATGCTTTCAAATCAAGATCGACCATAAAAGCCTAAAATATCTCTTGGAGCAGAAGATATCTTCCCCTGAGCAGCAAAAATGGGTAACAAAGGTTCTTGGATATGATTATGAAATAACTTACAAAAAGGGGAAAGAGAATATTGTTGCAGATGCGCTTTTACGGCTACCTAAGCAAGCTGAATTTTTTGTCATTTCACTTTCGACTAGTGACTTCCTTGAGGATATTAAGATGGAATGGTAAGAAGATTCGGAGACCAATAAGATCATAAAAAAAATGGAGGAAGTACCAAGCTCTATGGCTCATTACAATTGGGACTCAAAAGAATTACACTATAAGGGATGCATTGTGCTTGTGACAAATTCTACTTGCATCTTCACGAGCAGATTTTGGACAAAGTTATTCCGGTATTAAATTGAAAAGGAGTACGGCATATCACCCACAAATCGACGACCAGACGGAAGTTGTAAATAGGTGCTTGGAGACAACCCAAAGCCACCCACCAAATATGACTGCACAAGGAGAACTCTAGACCCAGCCAAGTGTCATTATTGATCGACGGATCGTGACTCGACGCCGACAACCCACTACTGAAGTGCTAATATAGTGGGCGAACCTACCAATAAAAGATGCCACTCAGGAGAACTATGATGACTTGAAGATCAAATTCTCAGAATTTATGAATCGTCAGCCTCGAGGACAAGGCTGATTTGAAGAGGGCGGGTCTGCTAGGACTCTAGCTAGGAGAGTCCTAATTGAGAGGGGCATTCATGTAAAACATACCTAAACCGACCCCTATTAAAAAGGTGAAGAGATCGGCTAGGGTTAGGAGGTTGTTTCTTAGAGAAGAATTAGGAGTTGTAAAGGAATAGGAGTCTTGAGTAAGAGTTGGTTAGAAATAGGAGTCTTGAGTAGGAGTCCTATTATAAGTTGGTTAAAAGTAGGAGTCTTGAGTAGGAGTCCTATTAGGAGTTAAGGTTTAGAAGCTCTATAAATAGTCATGTATTCCTCCTCTTTTGATAAGCAATAGATGAATTTTTTCTGCAGCCTTTGAGCAGCAACTTGGAGGAAAGAACCCCTATAGAGTTCCAAGGAAGCCGATCCCCATCAATCCCAAGTTTATAATCTATAAGGATTTAAAGAAAAAAAGATAATCAGGTAATGCTAGGAGAAGAATGGCAAAGTTTATAATCTATAAAGATTTAAAGAAAAAAGGTGGTCAGGTAATGCTGGGAGAAGAATGGCAGCACCTATTCCTCTTCCTCTCCTCTTCTCTCGGCTAGAATTCTTCTTTGGCCGGCTAGATGCAGAAGAGGTTTTGGTTTGTGATGATTGAAGACGCTGTGCATCCCTTGTTATGCTTCGCTCCGTCTTAGCTGCCAACTCCTCACCTAATCCGAGTCCAACTCAGATTACGTCTTGTTATAGCTTCGAGCTGGTTGAACCTGGCGTTGGAGCTTGGAAATGAGTTCGAGTTGGGTTCAGCCAATTTGAGTTGAATCAAAGTAGCACTCAAACTTCGATCGATCTGAATTGTACTTTAACTCGAATTTGAGTTGAGTTGAACTTGAGTTAGGATGGATTGGAACCTTGAGCCTGAGCTTGATTCGGACGGATTAGGATCAATTTGGAGTTCCAACTCAAACTCAGCTTGATCGTCCCTAATCACCTAATATCCGCAAAGGTCAAATTGTACATACTTAAAGGTGTTAATATAGTTTTTCTTGCTTGGGAAACAAATCTCAAGCTGTATTTTCTAACACGAAAAAAAATCTACACAAATTGCCAAAAGGAAAAAAAAGGCTGATATGAAGATAATTATGAAGATAAAAACTTAACATTCCATATGAAGATAAAAACTAACATTCCAAGAGCACCATGTAAAGAAGAAGGTAAATTGGTTCCGAGATAACTATGATGTCGAGGGGCTATAATAAACCATTAAGAAATGCCTATTATCAGCTGATATATATTATTTATTACTACAATGAGAAAACAGGGCTTTTAAGCGGAAACTAGGTCCAAACATCATATAATAAATACAAAGGCCTTTTGAGCACAATTTTTATAGTGGACAAAGGAACGCAAAACCCAAAAGGCTAAACAGGAACATGGATGCAAATGTTGAAAAATAAGGTCCAAAGGATAACGTGCATTAGTGGATAGGAACTTTGGATGATCAACCTAATTGTTCTGCCTAAGTTTTTGCCATTTGTCCAAAGGCCGAAAAGAACTGCCTCCTCATGGTACCATAGTACGTACTAGCTGGCATACAAGTACACCAGCACAGACCAGAACCATACCGGTCTGGCGATAGACAGATACAGATCCAGTTATCCGAAATGTCAATCCTCATTCAAAGCATTGCAATAGTTCAATCCTTGGCCTACGATGGCTTAAGGGTTGCATCATATCAGCATTCCCCTTGACAGCATCAAGCACAAAATAAAAGGGCCAGTTAAATTGATCTTCCCATCACTGCAACCAAAAATTAATATCATAGGTCACAAAGAAGAGAGAAGAAAATATGTAGATGCAGTAAAAAGTGGGATGAAAAGAAATGGGACAGTAGGTACCAACAAAGACATGATCAAAGAATGACAGAAGTGGATAAAGTTCAATTTCCTTTACTATTAACAGAAGCAACATTGTAACACAACCAATCAATCACCTTTTCAACATAAATTCTTACTTGATCTCCTAAACCTTATTCACATCACAACCAGCATACTACGCACCAGTTGGAATCTTATTCATCCTGAACATGAGATCCAAGACTCTGACAAACCTTCATTTACTAAGCTCTTAATAGCCTTCAAAGCCCATAAAGAAATATCACAGAAAAATTCCATCACATAGAAAAGGAGAAAAACCTATTAGCACAGATTCAAATAGACCAAACTGATCCAACATTAACCATAACTAGACATAGGCTGCTTCAATTGACAGACTGGGTTATCTTTTCATCAACAAGGTGTATGATCTAAGACATGCTTCTAATCATCCTTAACACTTTCATTAAAAAAGATAAAATAAAATCACATTTGAATAATAACTTAACTTGGCTAGACACTATTAGAATTATGTTGGAAGAGCTGCCAATCTCATATACCTACAAAGCTCATAATGACTTTTGCTGTATGCTGGCTTGCCAAGTCTTTGCAACAGGAAGATTGCAACAAAAAATTTTCTCCATCCCTCTTCACATTATAAAGGTCATTAATGTGCAAAAGACTCCCAACAATGTGGTGTTTGGGGTGACTCAATATATGCAACCTTACCTCCACAAGAACAACTTTTTTCTTTTTTCCTCTTTTTTGCTCACACCCTGAGCAACCATACCATGGTTCCTAGCCCCCAAGGATCTGCTCCCCACCCATCTCATTTATACATCTCTTGCCAATATTACTAGTTACTGTTTTTGCTTGTGAAATTCATGAATGCTGAGCAAACAAAGGTCATATAGTCTATAGAAAATATAATCATTTGGGCATTAAATAAGAAACTTAATGGATGGAACTTTAAAGCCTAATGAACCTTCTCAATTATATTGCATGCCATAAGAGGGTAAAAACATCTGATGGATTACATGAACAATAAGACATCGATCACTAAGAAAAGAATCTCCGCATTAATAATTATTCAATTACTCTAATTTAATAACAAAAATTAGTCAAGAACACAAATTAAATAAATATTTATGGCTTTTGGCAACAAGATTCATTACACAGGTGAAATCACAAAAAGGAATTAATACCTAGACAAAATATTATAGTAACAATTGAAAATTTCAAAGAGAGTATTGATAGGAACATAGTTTTCAAAATCAAAATTCATATACATTGACTACCAACAGAGAGTTTAGCGGAGAAAGCTACACAAAAAACTGACCAACTCATTCTGCACAAATAACTAAGAAAGGTGAAGCAAATCATGCTTTTATACATCAAAATACTGCAGACAAAGAAGAACAACAATGTTTTAATCACTACCAACTACAAATATGCACATACATCCAAGAATAAAAAGATTGACAACAATTCATTTAGTCAAACAAAATAGCTAGACCATCCAAAACTGCTTAAAAGCAGCAAACAAAGAGATAAATTTGGCATCATCCTCAAAGAGCAACATGAATCAAAATAGACTAAGATCAAAGCAACCAACTACTGATTTAATAATATGTTTGAACTTCAAACAGCATCCAAACGAGCACCTAATGTACCTTTAGCAACCTGAAATAACTGAACACTAACCTACTTCTCACTTGCTATGCTAGTCTTTGACCCATTTCACAATCAGTAACATTCTACAACAAAAGATCAAGAAGCAATTGAGCAAAATGACAGCATTACAAGTGCCGGACTTCAAAAATCCTATGTTGTATGTGGAGTAATCAATGAATTACCTCATTGTACTTCCCTACGCTGTAGGCAGCACACGTTCTTGAAGAAGCAATTCACTTTGATCTCCCTATAGCATCAAGAATAAGCTTCACTGTCTCCTTGTTCAGATCAATCCTTCGCAAGTGCTGCCTCATCTGAGTTGTTTTTAATTTTTTAAGCTTTTCTTCCATCGATTTTGCCTTGGCAACATCTACCATCTCTAGGGCCCTCTTGATGGCTATCCCACACAAATACTCATCTGCCATTTTGGTTACTGTCTCCCACAAGTACGGAAACTGAATCTTAACCCTTACAATATCCCCACTCTCACAAACAATAGCATCATGGCACTTTGACACAACAAGAGAGGTCAACTGCTGCTCGTTTGATTTCCGAATGTTCATCATCTCACTCTCGCTTTCTTCATTGTCCTCACTGTCAGCACTATTAGCATCAAGATGCTCTGAGGTTATCCTATTAACTCCCCAAACTTTTTTAGAGAGCTTATACCCATCCTGCTCATGGGGTTTGGTGAAGGTTGGGTCTGCACCATTTTTGGCACGGGCATTATTTGTCTCAAACTTCTTCTTAAGCCTTCTCACTTTATCAGCGAGCTGCGTGTTACTGAAATCCGTTTGGAAGGAACCTTTGATAAAATTCCGAAGGTCTTCCATGTCATGGGCAGAAGCAGCAACAGTGCCCTTCTTACTTCGGTACTCCACCAGGCCCTTAAGTAAAACTATTTCATTGTCTAAGCTCCACAGTCTTTGAAACAATTGGCGCTTCTGTCCACCATGATTATCCAGCTCAGAGCGCTCCACCACGTCATGCTTCCTTTTCAGAGATTCTCGGTCCTGCAAAGGAGCAGGGGAATTGGCTTGCTTGCTCGGCTTGTTAGGAGTGTCCATAGGCTTGGTGTTTATGGGCTTGATCGACGGATCCACGGCACGAGATGGGCGGGAGGCAGGGGTAACAGGTGCATCGTCAGAGGAATCAGATTCAGAGTCAGAATCACCAGAGGAACCAGAATCCGACGGCTCAGGCGTTGGTTTAGGCAGTGGTTGGAACTGTGGCTTTGGTGGTGGTGGTGGTGGCGGCGGCGGCGGCGGCAGCGGCTTATTCATTGTATTCGCGTCATCAGAGTCGGATCCTTCATCGCTGGAACCTTCGTCGTCGTCGTCTTCTTCCTCTTCACTGCCGTTGTCTCCCTGGTGCTTGTTTCTTTGGCCGTCTTCCTCGTTACTACTGTCGTCGTCATCTTCTTCACCGTCGTGGCTGGAGGTGGCAGCGGAAGGGTGCTTGGAGGGCTTCATGGGCTTGGGTACCTGAGGAACAGACGAGAGGCGCACATCCTCTTCTTGCTCTCCTTTTTCGTCGGATGAAGAGGAAGCGTACGAGAAGTCGGATGCAGAAGACTCGGCTTCAGCAGCAGCGCGTTTCGAGGACATGTCGGCCAGGAGGGACTTCCGCTAGGGTTTGGCAAAAGGAAAGGGAAACCCAGGGTCTTGGGTGTGATTTAGGGAATATGAGAGCTTTATATACAGGGCGCAGTTAGAAACACGATTTTTCATATTTTGACGATTTTATTATTTTTATAAAATTATATAAATATTTGGACGATTTTTTTTAATTCATATTTTAAATTTTTCTATAGATACCTCATTTTTATAGTGATCGTAATTTTTTTATAAAAGGGTAAGAATGATTTTAATAAAAAGAATAGATATAATACAAGTAGCACACACACGATTCACTACGACAAAACATGGCGACTAAAAATCACAAACAAAAGCAAGCCCATGAGTCGAAGCTACCATACTTAAGGCGCGATCAATAAGCATACACAAGTAAATCAATCGTCTCCCATGTGACACTATGCTGTTCTCCTAAGGCAAAATGTGTTTCCACGTTAAGTTAGAAGGTTGGCAAATACAAATTATCTATCTTTAATCACCTCCTTCTCATAATCATCACCCACATAAGAGCATCAAAGCTATTAGAGGTTTGATAGGGATGAATCTTGATACCCTTTAGCTTCTTAAGCAACACTTAAATGAAGATCTGGAGCCACCTACTCCCTACGATCGTTGATAGGAGGTCACATCACCTACCTTGATTTCCTGAAGTGGGCTCATAGGAATCACTCCTCATTGATCTCGTAATCTAGAAAATAAACTTGGCTTCGCATTAATGGTCGACGACATGGCCCGGCTTTACCAATCTTCCTTCTCGGACGAAAGATAAGGAGACCACACCCTACCTAACCTAAAGAAGCAAGGAAGCCCAATTGGAGATGTCATCCCAACAATCCACAAATGCTGCCCATGGGAGCATACATCGGCAAGCTGCTCGTATTAAATATTTCTGTCATGTCAGGTAAGAGGAGCCTTGACGGATGTTTGTTCGCTCCACCCAATACCCAGGTATAAAAGACATGCCTCGGGCCAAGATAGGACAAGTAGGTGAAAGAGACTTTTTACTCTCTTAATTCACTATTGATATTGTTATCTTTGTAAGGGTCAAGAGCACTAAGAGGGGGGGGGGGGGGTGAATTAGTGCAGCGAAAATTTTTCAGCGATTAAAACGAAAGCTACGTTCGTTCGATAAAAACGATTTCGATGTGAAAGCCGATTCTAAGATTACTTTAAATTGAGATTAAGCGAGATGACGTTAAAGTAGATCTACGAAGGCAGTTTACAGTTTCTGATGGAAAGCATAATACAAGCGCAAACTGAAATGCGACGTTCGTACGATAAAAGCCGATTTACGTCTAAACGCAGATTTAGAAAGTTCTGAACTTAGAAACTTATTCGTAAGATCGCAGAAGGCAGTAAACAGTTATGATTGAAATCAAAACGTAAATGTAAACTGAAATATGATGATCGTACGAGAAAAGCCGATTTAAGTCTAAACGTAGATTCGGAAAGTTCTGAACTTAGAAACTCGTTCGTAAAATTGCAGAAGGCAGTAAGCTATTGAGAAGTTTGCAGTGAAGGTAAAATGCTCAAAGGAAATGCAAACCGAGATTTAGAGTGGTTCGGTCAATCTTGACCTACTCCACTTTTGGCTTCCTCCACCGACGAGGTCACCGATGTCAACTAGAGGCCTTCCTTCAATAGGCGAAGGCCAACCACCCTTTTATAGATTCACTCATTTTGATGGGCTTAGGAGACAACCCTTACAAAAGTTTTCTCTCCTCTCTTTAAAACTCAAACTTTGAAAAATAGAAAGAGGAGAACTTTTGATCTTTACAACAGTTTTGAGCTCTAAGAATCACATAAAGATATCAAGATTTCGAGTGTTAGTTACTACCTTTCAGTGCTGAATGGGTGGGGTATTTATAGGCCCCAACCTAGTTCGAATTTGGAGCTCAAAACTGTCAATTCCCGGAATTCCGGGATCAGGCGGTTGCACCTCCTGACTGGGGCGGTTGCACCGCCTGGCAGAGCTCGAAGACTGAGCCTCTGGGCGGTGCCACCTCTGTCAGGGGCGGTTGCACCTCTCTGCCAGAGCTCGAAGACCGAGCTTAGGCGGTTGCACCTCCTGACTGGGGCGGTTGCACCGCTTGGCAAAGCTCGAAACTTGAGCTTAGGCGGTGCCACCTCTTGTCAGGAGAGGTTGCACCGCCCAGTCTCGCTCGGAGACTGAGCCCAGGCGGTTGCACCTCCTGGCTGGGGCGGTTGCACCGCCCAGTCTCCCTAGGAGACTTAGCCCAGGCTGTGCTACCTCCTGGCTTGGGTGGTTGCACCTCCCACAGCAACCAGGGTCCGAATGGGTTGATCCATTCGGCCCAATTTGGGTTTTTCAGGGGCCCAATTGCCCCAAGATTAAGCTAATGGGATCACCTCCCATTTTCAACTTAATCATTAGTGCTAACTACGATAAATCCTAAGATAATTTCTGCAGCTTGCTCAAGTGCGTCAATCGCTTCTTCCGGCGAGTTTCCGGCGAACTTCCGTCGATCATTCGATGAACCCTCGGTGATACTCCTGCGGACTTCCGGCAAACTCCTGGACTTGTGACGATCCACTTGGCAAGTTCCGACGAGCTTCTTTGGCAAGCTTCTGGACTTCTCGGATTTGTTCCCGCAGAACCTCCGACAACTGTCCGAACTTCCGTCGAGCTCTCGAACTCCTAACGTGATCATTGTCATGACTCCGGCGTAACTCCTGCTGCATGTCTTACTTTCATCATAGTTAATCCTGCACACTTATCTTAACACATAGATTAGACAACAAATGACAATTGACTTCATCATCAAAATCCGAGATTCAACAATCTCCCCCTTTTTTATGACGACAATCAATTGATAATAGAGTTAACCTTAACTCCCCCTGTCTATATGCCATACTTGAGATAAGTCATTCTTGAATTTAAAACCTTATAAATTCAAGAGACATATTGATAAGTTAAAATCATTTAAACTT